TCTTCCCTGCTAGGTTGCTCTCATTTCTCATTTATGTGAATAAAATTCACTGAGGGCCTACTGTGTGGCCAAGATACATCAGAGAACAAAGCAGAGCATGTAGCATGTCAGGTGTAGTAAGTTCTACGAAGACAAAGCAGGATAAAGGGCTAGACACTAAGAAGAGAATAAGGGGTGTACGTGTATGTGTGCGTGTGTAACAGTGAAGCAAATCCAACACTCTTCCCTAAACAATGATTGTGTTCTTGTGAATATAAGAGTATTACCTCAAGTCGAATTCCCTTTAGATACCCAAGAAGAGAAAGTAGCTATTGTACAAAATCAGGGACTCTATGACGATAACATGTTTGTCATTTCAAGCCTCAGCCACTAACAGGAACTGGGCGAAAGTCAAATGCAAGGCATATTTTAAGCTACGTAAAAAAAGTTATGAAAAAAAAACTAAGGAAATAATCCTTGTCTTGACATTCGGTATTACCGCATAGAGCAAAAACATGTATTCTGTCACTGGAATATTATTTTCTTGCTGTACTCTTTCTTTGGCCTGAGTTGAGGTATTAAGAAATTGAATCACTGTAAAGTGAGAAGGAAGTGCTGTTCTCATGTTAAAAAAAAGTGGAACATGAAGCAATCCCTTCGGCCAGGTTGGAAGGCTCCAATAAGCAGTTATATGGTGTTTGGGCACCAGGCAATTTCTCCATCGCCCCACAATTAGACTTGGATATAATTTGCTCCAAAGTGCTCTTACATGATAAACAACAGACAGATTAGCTGTTTGGCTACATTTGGCATCCGCCCTAGTCAGATTGGGATAGATCTGTCCTTATTAAAAGAAAAAAAAAAAAAGTTATGACTTTCTCACAGTAGAATTTAGCTTTTAGCCACAGATGCGACCCTAAGTTTCTGAGTTAGGTTCCAACTGAGAGAGTCGATTTTAGGACCTACAGAAAGCACACACACATTTTGCAAGAAGAAAACAAGCGTGACAGTTCACCTCACCTGTCACTTTCAAGATGACTGTGCCACTTTGGTTTCTCTGCCCTTCCTGTCCCTCCAGAGTACATCTGTATGTCCCCGAGCTGCAGCTGGTAGTGTTTGGGATCTTCAGGGAATATAGCCTTTCCCCAGGGTCCTCAAAAGAGCCCTTCTGCTCCTTTTGATGATAGTTCTGCAGATCTTCCTGAGGCATCTCTATCCTCTTTTCACCACCCTCTGTAAGCTGTTAAAAAAAAAAAAAAAAAAGGATCATATTGCATCATGCCCTACTGACAGACCTGCAAGCCATGGGCCTCCACACCCAGGTGCTACCTCTTGTTTTTATGAAATCCATCCTCAATAATTTTTTAAAAACAAGATATTGTGTGGATGTGTGATGAGAGAATCTAAGAAAATTCTTTAGGCTACACATATTTTTGAAATAAAATCAGGATTGCGTTTTATAATTCTTCGTATCCCATCTTTGACCCTACATAAAGGAGAGATCCTGTTGATGCTAATGATGTGCTGACAATGATGATGTGAAGTATGAATCACTGTGAATCAAATTTTGTTGCTGGTTGTTCTATATTAAATGTTCTCTTGTTTTCTTCAGATATCAACTCGCCCATTCACTGATTCTTAGTTTTGTATCCCAGCCTTTATTTGGCAACATTCCTAAATCTGCTAAGATCATTGCCAGACAACTCAGTGAAAAACACAGAGATGTTCTTCAAAGACTGCGTATGTGTGTGGTCATCTGTGATGCTGCAGGATGTACCACACTTACTCTCTCTACTAAGGCAGGAAGACAGGTGACGATAGTGCCACGTGGAGAATTTATGTGCCAGATTGTTTGGTAGTCAAGATACACATGAAAGGACAGTTACAGCTTAAATCATTGTACCCTGGACAAACCAGCCTGACTGGGGTAGATGCAAAATTTAGCCAAACTAATCCGGCTGGTTTTCTTTCTCCCTAATTATCTATGTGATTCGTGCTGGGGTTTTTGCATCATCTCCTACTTCAAAGATTAGGCACACACCACTTTTACCATCAATTCTCTTTTCCCCCAGATACATCTTCAATTTGTCTAATTAACTTGCCCGCTGACCCTCCACTGAAATGTTTTAAAGCTTTTAAAACTGTTTTTACACAAACGGTAAGGCAAATTACTTTTTTCACTATTCATGGGCAGCCCCTAGGCCTCTGCCAGGTGGCTGGGGACCAGCAGGGAGCCTGGACTTCAGTGGCATTCCTTTCCTATTCTGCTTATTGTCCTTCCAATTCCATCTCCTGTCCCTCCCTGTCCACCTTGGGGAAAAGAGAGCATGAGTAGGCTTCACCGCTGCTGTCTTTGCCTGTACCTGCCAATGTTTCATCTGCTGTTCTGGGAGCACCCTGCGACTCCTCTCCTCCTTCTCAAAAGGGAACCAATGCAGGGAAATAAATAACCGAGGAATTGGGAACACAGTGAGGCAGAGGCAGCTCAGGAAAAAAAAATACACATATGCGCGCAAACACACACACACACACACACACACACACACACACACACCCTCAATGGTTGGTTTCTGCTTAATTAATTAAGTTAGGGAACACACCACGAGGTCATCAGAAAGCTCAGGTCCAGCTTCCACAGCCTTCCATTCATGTTAGCATTCCTGTGGAGTGGGCTACAGAGACATCTGGTGGCAGATTTATAGCTCCTGCAAGAAGCCCAGCACCACCATACACTGCTAGCACGGGGCTGCTAGGACTAATAAATGGCTTTCCTCAGACCGTCAGAGAGAGAGAGAGAAAGAGAGAGAGAGAAGAGAAGAGAAAGAAAGGAAAAGAAAGCAGGCGTGGCAAGGAACCTTAGAAAAAAACTAAAGACATCCAACAGTGGATTTTAGAACACGTCTAATGTTGCCCAAATGTTCCCTTCTCAAGACTAATTAAACCACAAACCTTGTCATGTGCTCTTCATGAAGGCCTCTTCACGTGCTCTCACCTCTCCCCTCCCTATCCGTTGCCTGCAGAAGTGCTCCTTCCTACCGGAGCTTTATATGAGCCAAGGGCCCAAGACCATCCAGGGCCAACCTGTTCCAATATCTCCCACCCCCACCCGCAAGGCCATTTGAACTAATCAATTCTGCCTAGACTCAGCAGTCTCCATGGCGATGTCTTTTCTGAATTAACTCACGTTTCTTTCTAATAGGTTTCACTGGAACTCTGTTTTGCTAGAAATCCTTGCATCTGAAGAGATGGACACTCGGATGCAACAGTCATTTTGAAATGATCCGCCTCTGGTTTCCTCCTTGGGGGGCCTCCTCTCCCATCCAATGACTCCTCCCTCAGCTCAGAAAGGCCTGTCTGAAAGTCAAGATCCTCTGGAGCTGGAGAAAACATAAACTACTATGCTTATTTCCATAAAGTGGGCCCCATTATCATGCTGGCTGCTGGGAACCTCTGGAGCAAGTATGTGCCCATGTTCAGAAATGGCGGCCAGTTGCCTTCTGCCTATTTGCAGAAGAGAATTCATTTTGAAAATCAGCAGCAACAACAACAAAAAGTAGTTTACGTGATGGTCAGATTTCCATGGGCCTCTAGCAAGACCTCCAGTGGGCCTTTAGTTATGTTCAAATGGCAAAACAAAGTCAGGGTGAGATCATGAGAAGAACAGAAAGAAACAGGGGAAAGGCAGAACAGAGAACCCAAAAGCAACGTACAAAATGTTGACGTCCTGAGCCTCCACAGCCACCAAAGGGATCATGAAAATTATTTCATCGCTCATGGGATCATCTTCCCATGGTCCCTCCCTGAGTCTTCCTGAAAGACCCAGAGAAGTAGGAAAACTACTAGCTTAACCTGGGAACTATTGCCACAGTAATAAACAGCTCTCTTTGCCTGATAACTCTCTACAGCAAAAGAAACATGCAAATTCACACAACGCACCTGGAAATACTTCATAACCTTTCCTCTGGCTTCAAGCTCTAGGTATAGACAATGCCTAGTCCCCTTTCATTTTGTTATTTTAAAATATACCTTCTCCCACGACTCCATCTGGGGAATCTGGGATTTGCCTACAGCTGCACAAATAATTGTAGTTAATGTTGCATGCTGCAAATGGGAGTGAGGCACTAGCAGTACCAACAGACTTTTATGCGAAAGTTCAAATCATTATCTTTTGCTCTGTGGCCAAGCAGCTATCACTGTGCAGGATCAGGTGAGTTCGCTATGGCAGAAGCAGCACTGTTCAAGGACCAAAGGAGAATTTCAGCTGGAGGAAAATGGAGCAACAGCAAATGGGCCATCCTCAACTTTGCTTTGTTTTATGAGTTCTTATAAACCTTTCAGTTGGTGCAAAATCAACCATGGGCAAGAATGGCTCTTTAAACATTCCAAATTTAAAAGTGTTTCACTGCCTCTCTACAAAAGCATTTTAGGAAATAGTAATTTGTAACAAAAGGAACTCTCAGATTCATTCACAGCCTAGCATAATTGACAGGAACGATTTAATGTACGTGTTCCAACCTAATATTGTAGTGTGCTAAACGACAACATGATTTGGGCAAATTAATTCCTCAAAAGACTCATCCCAATTATGTTTTAAAAATCCACACTCCCTGCATTAACTCTTATGCTGACAATTCTATCTTGTTGATTGAATTAGAAAAAGGCAAAATATGGGACGTCTCATTTTCAGAAAGCCTACGAACTCAGACTTGTCTCAAGGCCCTCAATTTGACTAAGTAATTTAAATACCATATTCTTTCTCTAAAATGGCGATTTGACCTTAAGAAAACCATGCGCCCTTAATTAAAATAAATTTTCTTTAATTTGCCAAATACTAAATCAATAAAAGTACTAATTTTAAGGGTACGTGAATTAAGTTTTTTTAAATGGATAAATTTGAACAAGAATAAAAGAAATCAAATAAATAATTAAATATGGTTGAAATTGAACCAATATTTCAGTCAAAAACCCTACTGTGGAAAATGATTTTTTCCTAAGTTTACATAATTTTATCCAACTATATGGCAACTAGCTAACCTCCTAGATGACCATATTTGAATATAAGAGGACAACAATTCCATTCCTATGGCAAGGAAACAATTTTGATCACAAACTTGAAATTCAAACTTGCCATACATGAGGTCTGTTAAGTCTGTGATGGGAAACTAAAAGAACAGGAAGAGATTTTTTTGAGGAGCAATGTGTATACACATATGCATCTAAATATTTAATTCAACAACTTGATTAAAATATTTCAAAGCATAGACTTTACGTATTTAAAAGTTGTCCTAAATTAATCTGATATATTCCAATAACGATGAACAGCTTTTTTTTTTTACTGCATTCCTCATGCACTAACATTTATGTACCTTGGTTTCTAACTCAATTATAAGTGTCAATGTAATTGTCATTCATCATAAAAACAGCTCTTTATTACGTGCAAAATAGTTTGGCTTGGAGGTTGATGTCATAATGAGGGTAGAATGTATGTGCATTAACATCATTTTTTTCTAAGTGTAGTTTTATTGGAAAAATGATTTTCCACTTTAAAATTTACTGGGTCTAACAGACAGAGTTGGATTTACAACTGTTAACAGAGTCATGAATATGGCAGAGGCAACATAATTAAGAACACAGACTTTGGACCTGGACCCAAACAAACCTCCGCCCATCACAACTAGTTCTGCTCTCGGCCAACTGACTGCACAGCTCTCAGGTTTCGTTTGCTCCACAGAGATGAGAGGTTAGGCAGGAATTATATCCCACGATGTTGGTGTGAAGGTAACTGGGATGATGAAGGTGGACATACAGCATGGTGTCCTAAAAGTCTCATTACTCTCTTTTCATAGCCAAGGTTTCATTCAGCATTCTCAATAGTTCCCTGCACACAGGAAATATTCAAAAAGTATTTGCTGAATGAATAAGTGAATTTTAGAAGCAAGGAGAAAGTTCAGGCCTTGGAATCTAAAGGCCTGAAGTCAAGCCCCAGCTTCTCCGTCAGTTAGCTGGGTCACTTTTGGTAAATCATTTCACCTCTGAGTCTCATTTCCTCATCTGGAACTACCTTACTTACTGGGTTATTTTAAGAATCAAATGAGAAAACACATAAAAGTATTTTATCATTGATAATGTTAGTAATAGAAATTTTCGTTAGATGTGATAGTTTTCCACTCTATCCATTCATTCGGTCATTCCTTTACTGCTGATACTCTCAATCTCCTCTCTGGCAGAGTTTTCTAGAAG